ATAGCCATTTTCATTGTTTCTATAGTATAGTAGTTACTATCCTAGTGTCTCATTTTTATTTACTTAGTTTACATGTTTTAATAACTGTAAAGCGCTTAGAGCTTTATGGTAAGCGCTATATAAAAATGCCTAAATAAATAAATAAATAAATAATTCACACCTACCCAAATCTGCCATCCATGTTTATTTATAGTTTCACCTTACCCCCCCCCCCACACACACACACATACTATTTTATATTGGCGTCACCGATTAAATATGTAGCGCCCTGCCATAATCCAACCTCCCTTGATTGGGAAAGTTTTTTTACGTTCTAATTTGTTTTCTAATTGGTTTTTAAATAATACTACCGGGTGATACAAAATTTCTAGAAATTCTTTTCAAGAGGGTTCTAACCCTTCCCCCCCCCCCTCCCCTAAATAAGCCGGCAGCTTTCCCAGTCGGAAGAGATTTGCTATATTTCCTAGACTAGGCAGGAGACAAATTATGAGAGTTACCAGAATTAATAGGAGCCTTACAAGATTCTAGTTATTGTGTGTATGTGTGTGTGTATATATTTGATTTTGTATTTTCAAATTTATTTAATGGTATATTTATATTCAATATAACTAGGTTTGGTATCGTTTTTCTCTGTAAGCTGTTTTCAGTTCTTTTTTACTTATTGTTCATTTAAAGAATCAAATCTTACGACATATTAACTTTAGAAAACCACGACCACGTATCAAAAAGAGAAAGAGATAAATTATAGATATTTTTTAAAAATTTAACTACATCTTTGGGTGATTTGTGTAGACTTGAAAATGATTTTTTTCCCCTGGTTTACAAAGTTACTACATAGGTATCATTGCTTTTCATGTCTTTGGGATAGTAGTGTTGAAAATATTAAATTGCTAAGCTACTTCACAAGGAAGATAATCAAACAAGCAGAGGCAACCATCAAGGTTAGTTCAACGTTTTATTGTAGGGGAACAACATGGAGTCCTACCAACATGGAGCACCAGACAAGACAGCATAAAAACATGACTCACAACACAAACAAATAATGTGGTGTGCAAAACAATGCGCAATTAACATTCAGTATTTTGCCATTTTCCAACAAGTAGAGTCAAGCATGAACATTTGATGAGAAAAGATTGACCTTCAAAGTAACTATGGTGGTCGGAGGGAAAATATATAATTCTATGACTGCCTGATAAAGCAGCTTGTAAAATTAAATGTTTTTAGTCTTTTATTAAAGTATTCAATAGACGCCGAGTAAGAACTTTATCAAACTGAAACCGAAATTTGAATATTGATGTCCACAGATCCGAAAAGGCATAAAAGACCCACCATTCATAAAATGAATGAATGAAATTGAATCATCTTACCAGCCTTTAATTATTATTGTTGTGCAAAAAAAGTTGTTACAATCTATTACCTACAATCACTAAGATTGATGTCCGGAGAACCTTAAGCAAAGAGTCAAGTGAAAGATTTCACTATGACAAATGCAAGCAATGGCAGCGAGATATCAAGGTCCTTAAAATGCACAGATGATGGAGATTTTTAAAAAATAATCTTACTCAGGATCATCTTTGAAGATCCTATATTATTGAAGTCTCATGAAGGGCGCTTCGTTTGTGCTCAATTATAATAAAAAGTCTCCAGTAAATATGTTCTTTTGGTTTAAAATAAACACTCTTTCATTTAGCACACTTTTCTTTAAATAATTAATATAATGCTTCAGACTTAAAAATGCCATTATGTTCATATCTCAAAAACTAAAGCGGGAGCTATGTTTGCAACAAGCGGGTCAAATTTAACTAGAAAAGATTTTATGTTGGGCAGAGGAATAATATAAAAAATGCATTTTTACTTTTATTTTAGTATTATTAATTTAGGAATATGAAGGTCTTGTTTAATAATTGAAGTCTGTTTAGTGTAACCTAATTTAATTTTGAAAACAAGCTTCTTTGAACATTAAAAAATATACCAAGTTAATCTATTATTCTATTTTCTATGTGAAAGAGATTGCCTTGCAGCATCAAATAAACTTCACCTAGCTCTTACTAATATTCTTAAGGCATTTAATTTGAGTGTCTCATTTCTTTTAGCTAAATTGAGAAGGTACTAGCCTGTTCTTTTTTTTCTTTTCCTTTTTTTTTTATATATCATGAGACCAATTTATTGGTAATCCGAAGCTTTTTATTTAAGGAAGATGATTGGTTGATGTAATTATGTAAATAAAGAAAATTAATCACACTAATTAAAAGAATGAAAGTTGTTTATTTACAGTTTCACTTTTGTGCATTAATTGAATATAATATAATATCTACATTAAGGAAAACAAAAAATTGCAATCTTGCACTAATGGCAAGTTAATGTTTATACTTAAATGTCTGGTGCAAACAAAAATGACATGAGCTGTTCATTAATAAACCATTTCAGTGAGGTCAACTCAAATAAAGGGAAATCAATAAAGTCTATTTTATGCTTTGCAAATATAAAACTGAATTTATTTATATAACTTTATTTATAGTTTAATGTTGGCAACTTGTTGAACTTTGAAAATGGTATAGTGAAAACAGTGCTGACAAATGATTTGTAGAATCTGTCCTCAACTTCCAATGTCTAAAGGAATGTACTAAGAAATGCTAGCTTTTATCATGAATAGAGATGCATTAAAATGATTTTTATTTTAATTGCAAAGAACAACTCATAGATTGTAATTAATGGCAGTTTTTTTAGCCAACAATTTATTAATTAATGTAAGCAAAGTTAACAAAAGAACTTGTTATGGATAGCTGAATGAATGTGAACAGATAATATCATGTGCAAAACTTTAACTTAGGATTTGGGTTGGCTACAAAAGTTAACAGCTGTGAATATATTGGTAATGAAAAGTAAAGTGATTTTAAATAAGCTAAAGATTCTTTTAAATAAAAACATCAAGTAATAAAAACTTGCAGCTATCAATTTAGTTAGAGAAAAATGAGTATCTTTGGTTTTAAAAAGTAATAAACTTATAATAAAATGAAATGTGTCATAAATTGATTAAAAGAATACAGATGATTCCAGTGCACTATTATATAATTTTCTTTTAAAATATAAAAAATTACTCAGCTAGCTGTAACGTCTTTAGTTACCTTAAAAACATGTGACTGGATTAACAGTGACACTTATCACTGAAAATTTTAATATGAATTATTAGAAAATATAACTAAATAATGATGTTAAATTTTATATGCATTTCGCATCATTAGATCAAAGTAAGCATCATTATCCACTGAGGCACTGACTCCAGCATAGTAATTCTCAAACTCCTCTTTTGTGATCTGTGGAGAAAAAAAAATTGATTGAAAATTGTGTTGATTGTTAGCTTAAATTTTAATGTTAAAATGTGCTCTAAGAAAAGGAAAAACTGTTCAACTATTGACCTCATGTGTTTAATATTGCACATCAGCTAAACAGTCTATTTACATGGTGCTTAAGCTTACAGTTTCTTAAGAGTTTATTTTTGAACCTTCTGAAAGGACTTATACAATTGTACTTACATTGGTGACTTAAGGTTATTTCCACTTTAGTTAATTTAAGCTATTTGACTTAAGCTAGGAGATGAAGTGAAATTAATTTCCTGGATATTTATACAAGGTCAAATTAATTTCATGGCTATTTATCCAAGGTCAAACCACAAAAACAAAAGGCTGTGGGATAATAAAGATGATTTCACTTACCTTACTTTTTTTTAAAAATACTATAAATCATAAATTGTTATAGAATGGCATTGTGAAATATGCAAAGCAACTAGGTTTCTCTCCAAATTTTTATAATTATATGTTAACTATATTCTTCCACACTTTGTATAGAAGCTGCCTAACATGGTGTGAGGGACGATTTTTTTTAAAAAATGTGTAATACAATTTTGCTTTTGCCTCTAAAAAAATTAATTAATATTTAAAAAGCAAACTGTGAATAACCCTAAAAATTGAAACAATTTTCTTGATCTTTTAAACTTCTTCCCTACTGAAAATTGTCAACTATGTTTTGTTAAATAATTTAAGTACCCCATAATAAAAAAAATTCTAACATAATGTATTAAAAAATTCACTTCATTATTTATATGAAAAAGAAGTTTAGAAAGTTATGTGGTGGATATAGGGGCAAGAGCAAATTCAAATAATTCAATTATTGACTCGTGAAAGAGTATATCCAAATCTGTAATAGATCCATTCATAGTTCCTTTTGTTGTATTTAGAGGCAAAAAATATTTATATCCATCATCACTATTGTTAAGAATTGGAATATATGGATTACATTCTTTTCTTCTTGGATTACGTTATTTTCTTCTGTATGGATTACATTATTCTCTTCTGTATGGATTAAATTATTTTCTTCTTTACAAAAAAATAAGAAATTTAAAAAAAACGTTAAAAATTAATAAACCATGACTGAACAATGCTGGATCTTAATTTTTTTTAATAGATCTTGTACATTATATATAAAGTTTGGTATAAACTGAAAAATATATTAACCTAGGCTACAAATAAAAATTTGCTAAAATACACTTACATAAAAATAAATAACTAGAATGATAAAATAGATTCATATCTTTAAAGTGACATTTAAAATCAAAGATTTCTCCATATGTAAATTTAAACTTAATGAAACATGCATTTAAAAATTAAACTGAATTTATAAACAAAACACACTAACGCACTCAGGATTTTTAAAAATCTAAAAAAGTTCAAAGAGCTAAAAGTTAGAAGGTTGTAAAAGTCACTAAATTAGACCACGTTGTTGAACTACAGAATAAATAGTCTCCATCTATGGAATCATTAATAGCCTTTTGTTTATAACCAAAAATGAATTCACAATATCAAAGTAACTGATTTCTATTCAGTTAATCTAGTTTCTTTATGAACAAGTACAAATATTACTTAAAAGCAAATAAAATTCATAAAAGCAAAATTTCATTAAAAAAAATTTCAAGTATTTAAGAGTAAAATCTAATAGTTGAAGTTTCTACTGTTACAAAAATAATTGGTGTACAAAAAACTCAAATGCTATTATTGTACAACATTCATCAAATAGCGCATGGATGCTGTCAAAAAGAAGAGGTTCCTTGAGACAATTTGATTTACAGAGGAACAAGGAATAAAAAAGGAAATAGTAAATTATCCTTTAATTTTAAGAAATGTTGTCAAGCAGTTAGAAAAACAGAGGTCAGACCTATTTTTGTTTTCTAACAACATGACTTTAGTAAAAGTCCAAAGCTTTAGATGAGATGTATCAAGCATTAAATGTCTACAGCCTATGTAACTAATACTTTTTTTATGAAATCCATAAGGTTTCTGTTGTCCAGTATTCTTAGGCATATGTATAGAGAAAAAACAAACCATTTTTTTATGGGTTGTTTGATGCCAGTCTCAATAATGTTTATTGAAAACTGCATCGTTGATGTAAATTATGTTAGAGCCGCCATCACACTCAAAAGTAGAGATCAAGAAATTGAACTAAAACCCAAAGGTGATGGTCCATTAATTCTTGCTGATCACAAGTTTTCAATTTGTGCAAAATGAGAAGAAAACGGCAAACCATGATGGAAAGAAAAACTTGTTCAACGCATAAGTAAAGAAGGTGAATTTAGCAGGAAAAAGTCTGAGTTAGGTGGGCATACATTTTTTGATAAGGATTCAAAGGCGCCGGTAAAGCCAGCACTGATTTTTCTTAAGATTATGTGCATATTTGAATTTAAAAAATGCTTTGATGTAAACATTATTAAATTCTCAAAGTTATACAATGATTGTAATGTATAAACTGTCTCGATATACAGGGCAACAATTTATTCTAGTATGAAGATTTTGATTAATAGTAAGGATGGAATTTAATAAAGATGTCAACGATTTAATGGGCAGTAACATGAGCTATAATTTCCAGGCTGTTCGCATCATGAGATCAAAATAAGCATCATTATCAATTGAAGCGCTCACTCCAGTGTAGTAATTCTCAAACTCATCTTGAGTAATCTGTAAATAGACAGTCAGCACTAAAACAAAGAACAACATTCATCACAAGGGTCTGGAATCACAATACAGGTTAGTATATTCTGATCTATTTTTGCATTTTATCTCCAGGTAAGTCATAGTCCGGATGCCTGTCTGACTTGTTTCAGTAGTGTGACTTAAGAAGTCATATTTTCTAAATGCTGAGATTCTTTCCATTAAATTTCATTTTTTTTTTTTTTTAAATAGTTAAAGTGTTTGATTTTTTAAAAAAATCATGTTTCTATCATAATTTGATGTTGTAGAAAATAACATATTTTTAAAAATAAATTATTATTTCTTTTTTATAGAAATAAAGGCTGAGATTCTTTCCATTACTTTCATTTTTGAATTGTTTGATTTTTAAAAAAAAATCATGTTTCTATCATTTGATGTTGTAGAAAATAACATATTTTTAAAAATAAATTATTATTTCTTTTTATAGAAATAGGAAAAATATAGCTAAAATTTCAAAATGGACTACGCTAAGAAAATTTGACATTTAAAAAATAATATTATAGTAGTTTTTAATTTACCTCACTTAATTAACTTAGGTATTAAAATTATTTAGAAACCTTGTTTATGAACTTTCCAAAATTAGCTGGATTACAAATTATTTATTACATGTATAATTATAATGAAGTGAGCTGCAAAGTCTTCAAGGGGCAAAAATTGAACTGGAAGTAGATGTTTAACTACTACATGAACCATGGCTTTTAATTAAATGCGAATAAAAATAAAATGCCACCACAAATTTAAATTTGGTGTAAAACTGATATTTTTAATAAATAATATAATAGCTAAACATTATTATTATTTTTTCCTTATGACAAACTATAATAAGTTAAGCGTAACAAATTTTAACTACTTCCATTTAAAACACAAAATTAAAAGACTAGATTCCCTGATTCTAAGCTCTGAGTTATCATTGAAATTTTTTAATAAAATGGAAATTAAATGCAAATTTAAAAAAAGAAAATGATGCTTCTTAATGCAGCTTTAACAAACTTTTAAAATATTTTTAGATACTCATATGGGACGACAATTTTTCATCTGTATAATACACCTATACTAAGTTAGAAAGCTAATAAGTCAATATTATATTTAAAAAAACAACTTTTTATCACTTTGATTTTCAAATTAAAATACTGTGCTTTTTGAAAATTTTATAATCATTACTAATTATTATTGTAGTAATTGGTGTTTTGTTAATCACTGTTAATATGTTACTCTTGTTGTCTAGTTACAACATAATGAGGTGAACTACACAAGGAACTTGGTGAATGGTGATGAACCATATAGATTCAATTTATTTCTTTAATATTACCTGACCCTGTTGTAGCAAATTAGAAAAAAACCAATGTGCTGAACAATAATATTCACTTGTACAATCAAGGTAATGAACTTTTTTCAATTTCTTTCATTTTAAGCAATTTTTCAAACACACAGAGAAGTGGAATAGAAAGATTTGTTGATATTTAAATAAGTCTTATTTAGGTAATGTGTTTTTTATATTAGAAATAAGTTCACAAAATAAATTTATTACAACTGCTTATTATTAACTTAATTTATAATAACATTTATTTTTTAAATTTATTTCATCCATTAAATAAGTATTAGTTGACTTTACATTCATTTATTCTGTAACTCAATCATATATAACAAACTAAGAACAAAGTTCAAATCATAATATTTGAAGTAGGGATAATGTTTATGATAAAATAAAGTTATTTATTAATAAAAGTTTTATAAGAAGACTGATAAAATGAGGATTTAAACATTATGAATTTCTTTTTGTTTTTTTTTAAATGGTGGACCTAAATTTAAAGATACCCTTATGTAGGCTTAACTAATTCAAGTTTTTTTTCTTAACTTTTATAGGCTGTAAAATCTGTTCCAAAATCTTTAAAAAAAAGACGGGGGAACATAAATACAACAGCAAGATAGGTGAACATATAGACCATTCTCATTATCCATGTGAAATGAATATTTCCCCTGAAAAACTTATTTTCACCCAAAAAGTTATAAATTTGCTAAACTACATTAACTTATTCAAAAAGGAAAAGAAACAGAAAAAAAATAAAAAACAAAAAAAAAAACCTGAACGAACCCATGCAAAACTCGCTCATGCTAATTAGTAATGTTCTATAATTAAAGTTATTTTACCTTGCCATCTTTATCATCACTGTCAAAGGAGTCCAAAAACTGCCTTAAAACTTGATCTTCTGTCCATTCACCACTGAGATATTTAGGGTGTTTTGATGCACTGTAAACACCCTTTAAGTCTTCTATTGTGACAACACCATCACCAGATTTATCTAATTTTCTAAAGGCTTGGTAGATCAGATTTTTTCTATTTGAGTTCATTGCTGGCTGAAAATTTTAATTCATCATTATTAATTACTGATGCAAGCCAATTAAAAAAAAAAGCTAATAGGACTATCTTCTTTATCTCAAATCCCTCACACATCATTTCATCTTGTATGTTTTTTAAAACGAGAATTGACACAAAATCTTTTTATATCTAGTTTTTGCCAGGTTTTATTTGCATGGCAGGAATTCATATTGATGGGGCTGAAAATTATTTTTTACAAATTATGACTTAAAAAAAATTAAATAATGTATTTAATGTCACCATGTACACTAACTTTTGGAAAATCAAAGCCTTTGCCTATATTGGTAATAGGACAACAAGATTAATCACTTGCATGAATGCATGGCATTTTTAATTACGGTAATGATGAGTGAAAAATCCAAGTTTGAAAAATGTTGAGTGTTACATTTTTGATTGAGGTTAATAAAAACAATGTGTATTTAAATGCATGGCCACCCTGAAAAATATGTTGACTATCGACTCTTGATACAGCAAAATCAGATTAAAAAATTCAGGCTACTTACTCGCAGTCTTGTTAAAAATTCATCAAAGTCAATTGTTCCACTTTTATCTTTGTCAAATATGCTGAACAGTTCATCACAGTGAGTTTTATCAAATTCTGTCAGCCCATAGTCATGCATGCCTTTCATAAACTCTTTTTTATCTAAACTTCTGTTTTCATCATCATCCATGATTTTAAATGTCCTGAAAGAAAAATATATTAAAAATATATCAAATAGAAACTCTGAGAAACTTCTAGGTATATAATGTTGCCCAAAAGTGGCTAAGGCTTAGACATGGAGATATGTACAAAAGATTTACCTGTTTAAGTGTATTCATTTTCTTATACTTAGACTTATATGAAAAATTTTATCTTTTAAATTTCTGCAAAATCTTATAACTTATAAATAAGTAAGCTAACTCTATTATTTTTGTATGGCCAAGGTCTATTCTTTTAACAAATCATCCAAGAAGTGACATTCGTAAAGTGTCAATGGCATTTCCTATTCCAAATCAATCCATGGGAATTTACTGAGAAAAATAATATTAGTTTTATTTACAGGTCTACTTAAAAAAACAAAGGTAACATTGTTTTTTATCGTGGGTAATTTAAAATGTTTAAAAATTGTTAAAAAATAATTAAAACCATATAAAACTAAATAAAACCGGTTTAATGTTTATTCAGTGACACAATAGTGAAAACGCATGTTCATTTATCCATAATTGTCAGCCAAAGTGATGATGAACTGTGAAAATAAGTTTGCATCGCCAAAGATAAGCAAACTCGTGCAAATAGGACGGAAAAAGAGCACTACTAGTCCCAAATTTTCCCAAACATTGAGAATAGGTGGATGCGGGCTAAGCGCAACGAGAAAACACATTACCAAAATAAATTTATATGCCGATTACTATTAATATTAGAATTAGGCCTATATAAAATACTTAAATTAATTACATGATTTGACATGTCTAGATTAACAGCAAAAAAATTATAATAATAATAAATGTACTAATCGTAAGTTTTTACCTTGCAAGACCTTTAATACCATTAGCACCCCTTGCTAAGCATGCTAATCTTAATCTTTCTACAGGGTCTGTTGTTGTTTGAAGAGCTTTTTTACATTTCATCTGAAGCTCGGCCTGTGAGCGCTTAGTAGCTGCCATGTTTACTCTGAAATGATTTAAAACAAAATGTCAGCGCCCATCTAAATCTCTTTAGCACAACTTTGTCAGGCCATGAACATAGGTTAAACGTAATGAACAACAAGTTTATTGCAACGGAAGACTAGAAAATTTTTTTAAAGAGTTGTTGGCCTAGGTCTAAGTTAAAGTAATGATATTAACAATTCTTCAAGAAAATCTAAGCAAGACACAGAATATTACGAACATTTCCAAGCTTAACACAACGAAACACTCAACGAACGGGCTTCAACTTGCTAAGAAGATTTATCGATCAACCGAAAGGCATAGAACGCGAAAAAAAACAATCAATGTTTTACCTGTGTCTCTATGGATACCGGGAGTAATCATTGCTGGTATTTCCATTGCAGTTGAAGAAAATCGAAACTCATCAAATTCAAGAGATGTGGCTTAACATTTTGACTTAAATTCAAAATATAAGTCACTGATAAAAAAAAATAAAAGGAAGTATTAATAAGCTTACACAAATTTTCACTTAATTTTTATTTTTTAAAATTAGTTTGAAAACAAGATAAAGAAAAAGGGACATTAAGTGTTTTATTTAATTAAAGGGAGAATATCGCAAACTTTTAACAGAATAAGAGCTTTTAATTTAATTCCCTTATAATTTAAAAAAAAAAAGTAAAGAAAAAAGAAGCCAGAACAATGTGTTGCTAATTTAAAATATATTCCTAACTTATAAATATTATAATACTACATATTATTTTACCACGGAGAGTAAAATTTAAGTTTGCAGTAAAACGCTGAAAAGATTCAAAAGATCCAACAAATCACTCACAAATTCAACCTTCTCATGGATTTTAGTGTTGCCACTTTTCGAGATAAAAACAGAACACAGTTTTCACATGGTCTTTGGATGTTTATGGTCACTCTGATGCTCCTGTTCAACTCCAGCCGTTTGGATATTTTATGGATGGTAGGGAAGGTATGAGGATAACAACATTTAATGGATGAGGTGGAGAAAGAAGGAAATGAGGAAGGTATGATAACAGTGCAATGGAGTAGCTAGAGTTAGCGTAGCCCTCGGCGGTCCTTGACTTTAGAGCCCCTAATTAACGAAAGATACAAATTACAATGATTGACGGGTTAGTGGAGAAGTTAGGAGTGAGTGGAGAGTTTAGGGGTGAGTGGAGAGTTTAGGGGTGAGTGGAGAGTTTAGGGGTGAGTGGAGAGTTTAGGGGTGAGTGGAGAGTTTAGGGGTGAGTGGAGAGTTTAGGGGTGAGTGGAGAGTTTAGGGGTGAGTGGAGAGTTTAGGGGTGAGTGGAGAGTTTAGGGGTGAGTGGAGAGTTTAGGGGTGAGTGGAGAGTTTAGGGGTGAGTGGAGAGTTTAGCTGTGAGTGGAGAGTTTAGGGGTGAGTGGAGAGTTTAGGGGTGAGGGAAGATTTTAGGGGTTAGTGGAGAGTTTAGGGGTGAGTGGAGAGTTTAGGTATGAGTGAAGATTTAGGGGTGAGTGGAGAATTTAGGGTAAAAGAGAAAGATGTGAGGGTGTGATCTATACACAACCGAAAAAAAACAATCGCCAAATTAAATTTGTTAGAACAGAAGTACAAAACCCAAAGTTCAAACTTTGTAGCTGCACAAATACGTTATTTTAACAAAAACATACATCGTTACAATGGTTGAAATCTTCTCATACAAGTTTTAATTTTATGCTGATCGAAATCTCACTTTGCTTGTCATTTATTTATTTATTTATTTTGTGTGTGCCAATTTTGTGACCAATGCAACAAGATCAATATGGCATGATGCCTGGGCGTTTTATATTGATAGTGTGATAGTGTGATAGTGTGATAGTGTGATATTGTGTTAAGGGCACGGTCATCTCGTCTCACTTTCAGTATCACACAGCATTCGTAAGTCTTTAAAAAAAAAAAAAAAGTTAGCTTCGAGAAGATGCGCTTATCCCTAAGCACTTGTGCTGGTCATGGCTAATGTGTGTGCCTGAAAAATAAAATGCCAAGTACCTGCACTTAATGGGGGTACTTTAAAACATCAGAAGTACATAACTTGAAAAATATGGTGTTTTTTTTTTTTTTTAATTTTTTTTTTTTCATCAATTTAAAACAAATGTTTTAAAATTAAGCCAGCCTGTTTAAATCAGACCCCAATCCGGAAGAAAAAAATTTAAAAGCAAAAAAAAAA